TTATTAATAATTAGTAATGTCGTAAGTTCTTTTTTTTTTCTTGTAATTGGTAAGTGCATTCTTTATTTTGCAGGTTTACTGTCCTGCCGTTAATATGTTACTTGCAGAAGAAGATGTGCACCAGAAGGTTTAATGCCCTTTCCTCATAAATCTAACACCTTTTTCCTCCATTCTCTTTTCTCTGCTTATGCATCGTCTTGAATACCGTCTTTTTTCTCTATTTGTTTCTGCATCTGTTATTTTCCCTTTGTTATCGCCACTCAGATCGATTCTTAGACGATCGTAGGTTTTATTTAAACCCTACGTAATAGCGAAGTGTTGGTAAATATCCTGCATTTTAGCGTTTGCCTATATCTAACAAAATCTTCCTTTTTCCGACTTGACAACCAACATGGAGTAAAAATCCTCCTTGTAAGTATGTGTGTGTGTGTGTAAACATATATGTAAGCGCGAATCTGTTTATTTGTCTTGGTGAGTGTATAATTGTGTAGTTATATACATTTATTTATATATATATATATGGATGTAAATAGCGAGGGTTGGAGTTAAAGCCACGTGTTTTTTGGTTTTTTTTATTTTTTGTTTATTTCGTGTTTGTTTTCCTTTCTTTTTTTTTTCTTTTTTCGCAAACTGTTGGGAGGGATACACAATGTTTCCTCTTATTGTGGTGCATGCAAGGGGAAAAGCGAAATTCTTTCCATACATTTTTAAATAATCTTACGAAAGAATACACCCTCCTAGTCTTATGCTTTTTAGTCTCTAAAAGAAATTTTTTTCTTCCAGCAACATTTTTCCTTTTCTTTTTTTTTTTAATTCATTTTTAAAAATCTGAATTTTAAATAATGAAATTAATTTCATTTTGCTTTTATACATTTGATTTAAGTAGTATTTCTTTAATTAATTCGAAGCTCATATCTCTTCTTTCCATTGAAAAATATAGTAATTGTCAAAGTCAAATTGACTTCAAATTTTTTTGTGAATTTGCTATTTAAGAAAAAAGATCCACACAGTTCAGAATTATAATTTTCGATTTTTTTTCCCGTTTTATAAATAATATAGAAATTGAATTAAAAGATTTGAATGAAAATCAGTATTTATTTCGATAGTTTGTGGTGTATTTAAAACAAAATGGTGTCATCTGGATTTGTGGAGAAATTTTCAACGAACTACTAACCAAAATGATTGCTGACACAAAAATAATGGACATTTGTTAACGGTTGTTCTATTTTACAGTTTAAATGTAAAACGAATCTTTTCTTTAAAAAACACCCACTGTATTAAGCTAAAAACTGTATTTACCAGCTTTATTGTAGTAGTAATTTTAATACAGAACAAAATTGCCTAGTTTTCTATTACCACTTGAATTTTTATTTTTGTTTTCTTTTTGAAATTGTATTTTTTTTCTAAAATCGTTGTCACAATATATTTTCTTAAATACGTCTTTGATTCAAATCGATAATATCATTTAAAAAAGCCCAAAAAAACTAACGAATTAAGTGACCAAAGATGAATGTCGATGTATGAAAACGTCAAACTTGCCGGAGAGTAAACAACATCACATGTCCATTTTTGACAATTAATAACAAAATATTTTTAATTGCTACAATTTAGTTTTTACCTCCGTAGTCTCAAGTTCCGATAATTTCTTTGTCGATTATGTTTCATTTTATCTTATTCTGGCCTTTATTTTTATTTTTTATTATCACTGTATACACGCAGTTTTTTAAAGCATTAAAACATGCCACTTCCTTAAATTTCCTTGTGTTATTGTAACTTGTTAATTACAGAAGTAACTTTTATGCTAGAGAACCTGAAACAGAAGAATACTTTTTGAAACCGAAGCAGTTCTGCTGTGTTGGTTGGAGGGGGCTGATAATTCAGACTTGTAAGGCAGGGTAATTGATTCAGTGTTCAAAAGAGAAAACGGACCTACAGGTCCAGCTTCTTACCTGATGTGCCCAAATTTCCATCTGGCTTGAGATCAAAATGATTTAATTTTTTTTTTCTTATTCTATTCACTGTAAATTGTACAACAAGAGAACTTCTAGTCGTGGACTATTTTGTTTTTTAGTTCATCAATTTATGATGAGTCTTATAATGACTGCAGATGGTCAATTGCACATTTATCAGTTCAAGGTTTTGATGATACTGATTTATATAAGAATCACAGATTTTTACAGAGATACAAATATACTGATTGTTAGACAGATGCTGTATAAAAAGTTATGAAATGGTTAAAAATGAAATGCATTTTTTTTTCTAAGTATGTTAAAATGCAAAATAATTTTCTTTCCAAGCTACTCAAAAATCCTAAAGCAGAACTAAGTAAAAATGTTGAATATTAACAGATTTTAGAAATGAGGCAAACAGTACACAAAATAAATCCTTGCCAAATGTGTTAATTGCTAGAAATATGCAACCATAGTGATTAAGTTTATTAATGACTTTGATTGTGTGGTCAGTCTAATTGTTAACAGTACAGAGACTGAAACAGGTGAACTGAGTTCAAACTCCAGTTGAGATGTTTTTGTTTTTAATTTGCTGATGTCTATCAGAAAGACCAGAATTCATTTTTCCTTCAGCCATGGATAAATAATAGCACACATGAGCCGTTTAGCCTTGTAAAGCAGCCAATCTTTGGTATTGGGTTTGCACCTTAGCCACGAAAAACGACATGACTTTGTAATATTCTTTGTTAGCATAGTACATGTTTCAGTGAATAGTTTTAATTTTATAAAGTTCTTAATTAACATAGAAATATGCTGTTGTTTATATTGGGAAAAAAACTTACAGGAGAGTTGTTGTTTTAACTACCTTCACCACCATCTTTGAATTATTTGCATTAGTATAAGATTACCCAAAATACATTTCTCATAAGACATTCTGTTAACCAAAGTTGTTAAGTAATTTTTTTTATTTCATAAATCTCATCCGTAAGGATTTATCACAAGCACAGGAAATCAGATTTGTATTGAAACCTAAAAGTTCTATGCTGTCATTTTTGGCATTTTATAATTGCTTTATGTTTGAATGCATCATCAAAAAGGTTTTCTTTCACAAAGCATAAAAATATGAAGATAACTTTACTGGAAGCTATGCAAAATGGATTGCACTAATACAATACTATCAAACGGTAACTAAAACTCTGAAAAATCAATCTTTTTTAGAATTCTGAATTAACCTGTTTGTCTTGATTATTGTCTGTCTTGCTTTATATTCTTGTAAAAATATCCTTTTCACATCACTAGACACTAAACTGTCCATGAGTGCAGATGTCCATTCTTGCTTGACAGTTCATTTCTATTAAATCATGGGGAACCCATTTTCCAAATTTATTTACCTTTCTAGGTAGATGAATTTTTTTTTTTTTGTAACTAATTGTTCAACTGAAATGACATTATTTCTATCAGGTCAGACAAAAAGCAGGTCATCTTTTATAATCCTTTCAAATTATCTTTAGCAATTTGTTTCATTTAAAGAAATGATCCCTCATAAACATCTTGGGTTGCTTCTGCAGCTTTATTGTTCTTTGTAAACTCAAAGATGTCATATGTGTTTTGCAGATAGGTTCATATTTAGGACATTCGTCTAAGTAGGTTAGTTAAATACCACTGTGACAACATACACTTACTCTTTTTAACCCTTTAAGGCTGGAAGTACCCTATGCCCACAAGTTCCACATGCTTATGATCTGAGGAGTGCCTGAATGTGTTTGCAATTGGGTAGCACAGTATTTCAATACATAGCGTTAGCACCCATCACATGAGCAACTAGAGGGAACCAGAAATCTGAAGTTTTTAGAAAGTTGAAGATTTCCAAAAGTATATCTCATGACCAGTGATACAAAGACTAAATTTGGTATCATTTGAAAGAAATCAATTTACTTGATAAAAAAAATCTGCATGTAATACTTGATTTGCAACAGTTTTTTTTTTTTTTTTTTTTTTTTTTAGATATATCAATTGCGCTAACTTCACACATTCTAATTTTTCAACAGTTCCATCAAGTCTTAGTGAATTAATAATAGAAATCTTTTAAGAGATATAGGATTAAAACTGTATGATTGCATATTATCTTGTGTTTTCATTTAGGCATTTTAAATAGTGAATATATCATTTGATATATCCTTAGCAGATTTTGGGTGTTACTTATGGGATAACCTGATAGTTATAATATTCACTACTTCAGTTCTTTGTAACTTTTATGTTTTAAAATTCTTTTCAAAAAGCATCTTAAGTATAAAGTAATCATGGAGGGAAATGAAGTGCAAGTCAATATAATTAGATTTTTATCTCTTGCTAACTAAGTTTCTTGGCTCTTGTAATAGAAAATTGTTGTACATAGGTAGATTTCTTTCTGGGTTGTGGGGACACTTTTAAGCCTTGCTTGGAACTTATTCTTTATTTCTAATCCATGCTATTTACTAGTGGCCATTCAAAATTAGAATGAGACAGTTGAAATTTCTTGGATACAATGAAGAGTGCTTTGAGAGTTTGACACTTGATATATTGAAGATGAGATAGCAGAAAACAGCAAATAACTTGCCTAATGAGCTTATTTAAATGGTTAGTAGAATGGGAATAGCAAAAGACAAACCTTACTAAGATCTACAAAAGACAGGAAGTTGTGGAGAGTCATGATCGCCCATGTCCTGGAGGGACACATCCTACAGAAGTGGTGGCTATAGAATTACTGTGTTGTTGTAATGAAAAAGCAAATGAAATCAAGTCAAGAAGAAATGACTTATAAATAGAAATATTATGCCGATTTATAAATGACAAAGAAATTAGTAATTGGAAATTCTGATTTAAAAGTTGTCCAATAATACTTGTAATTTTCATTCATTTTTTTCAGATAATTCTCAATATTGAAATGGTAAAAATATGGTTTACTGAAGATCCAAGTTGAGATAAAAAAAAAAAAACAGCTCAAAGAGTACATCTTTTTTTTTTTCTCTCCTTTGAGCTGCCATGTTGGAACATCCCCCTCTGAAGTGTGCAATGGACAGTGATCAACCGATCCTGATGGACCAGAGCAGTGGGGACCAGATCATTCAAGAGCCTGATGTCGAGGTGGTTACCTCAACCACTGCTGACCACAACACTGTTATCCTTGACAATACATTGTCAATGGCTGGCCTCCCTTCTGCAGATGCCATTTCACCACAAGAGACCATTGTGAATACCAGCTATGCAGAAATTGATGACGAATGGCATATGCATATGGTTGCTAACGGCAACCCAGACTGTAACAATCTGGTCACAGATATCACAAATGTAACTGTAAAGACAGAAAGTGCAGACGCGATTGCTGATGGCAATTACAACGAGATGGACGACGAATGGCAAATGCAGATTCAGCTGATCAGTTTGGTCACTGATGTGACAGTGAAAATTGAGAACGAAGAGATCGTTACAGAATCAAGTAATGATTCTGAGAATGTAACCCTCACAGAACTGGCTGCAGAACCAGAAATCCCCATAGAGAAGCAAGAATTCAGTGAGCCTAGCGTGGTTCTCATTGATGAGGATACTTCCTCCCTGATTGAAACCAATGACATGAGTGCTCCAATTCAGGTGATAGCAGCTGAAGATCTAGATAATACCTACTTTGACGTTGGCATCCAGACAATTGGAGAAGAGTACACAGTCACTGATGACATTAGCAGCTCTGACGACAGTGACAGTGATACTGCCAGTCCAGTGAGCAAGACCTCTGACATAAGACATTTAAACTCCTTCAACATTTGCACTGTGTGTAACAAGGAGTTCTCAGATAGGTCAGCTTGTCAGCGACATATGATAGCCGCACATGAGGAGGCAAAGTATCAGTGCACCAAATGTGACAAGAATTTCTATCGTGCTTACTCTTTGAAAATTCACATTAAGAAGAAACACAATGGAGAAGGTCTGTACTTCTGTGACAAATGTAACAACTGCTACTCGTGCAAGTTCTACTATGACCAGCACCGGAAGAGAAATTGTACACCAGTGCAGTGCTGTGATTGTGGCCGGGGACTGGCCAACATGTTGCAATTGCAGATCCATCGGAGGCGAGTGCATAAAAAGTGAAATAATGCCAAGTCTTCAATCCTTGGCAAGCATCACTTGTGAGGCTCTACCTAATCAAACTCACAGGTAAAATATCATTTCTTGCTCTTTTTCCCTCTCAACCTCTTCGAAAATTGAACCTTATTAACTTTCAATGTAGTCATCTCTTTTGAAAACTGTTGTCTTTTTTACAGAACAGTTTTATTTCTTTATTCTCTCTCCATTATCAAGGATATTCAACAAGGAACATTGTAAGAGAAAAGACAACTATAAGATGAAAAAAAAAAATAGCCTAAATTAATAATGAAAGTACTTTGTATAAAAAAAATTTAATACTACTGCTACACTTTACTAGTTACTAATAAACAAGAGGCTGTACTTTTATGTATACTCAAAATCAGCCTAACTCCAAGCCAAATCCTAGGGGACCCATTTTCTAAATTTACTTATCTTTCTAGATAAAATCACAACAAAGTGCTATTGCTATAAAAATACTATAATGCTCAGTAATACCAATAAATACTGCCATAAACAAAGTACATTATAATTAGAACCCAGTATTACTGCTATAAACACACCCTAATGAAGTGTTCTAGTGACATAGCTGTTATTGGCATGGAAAGTGGAATTGGTAAGCCAAGTTCAAATTCCAACATAGTTTATTCCATTCACTTTCACACTAATAGCCTTGGGAAAGTCATGAATCATCTCTTCTCCTCTTTAGCCTTGACTGGCAACCAGTTTAAAAGGACATCTCTGAATTCAAAACAATAGAGAAGTCAATGGAAACTATTCCAATATGATTCCCAAGAAGTCATGCCAGTTCACAGATTATAAAGAATTTTGGAGAACCATGATCACCTTTGGCCCAAAGAGACATGGCATTAAAAAAAAAATCTGGATAAAACCTAGTTATTATTTGTAATTTTTTTTATAATTGTTAAAATTTTTTTTTTTTTTTTTTTTTTTAATAATTACAAATGTAGTATTATTAAAATGGTTAAAAATTGAATAAAAATATTATTTAAAAAAACTTGAATGACAAATCTATATTAATTGTGTATTGAAAATGTTAAATAGAAGTACTTGAATATTGAAAAAGTATTGACCTTAAATAATTTTCAGATTTCTATTTTATTCAGTTAAAAATAGAATAGATTAGTATATTGATGTACATAAAAAGTGTTGATAAAAAGATCTTGACATAAATATTTCCTTTTGTAATTATAAAAATGCAAAAAGTGGCTGTAAATATCAACCCTATCTTACCATAGCTTCTTTGGTCAAATTAAAGTGTCAATTAAATTAAGACTGATCTTTCATTCACCTTATTTCTGTTGCATTTTATCACAACTTTAGATTGTCATTAGTAAACAGCATGAATCCTAAATAAAAGACAAGCATCTGGTGAGATTCTTTTTTTTTTTTTTTTTTTTAACTTGTAATGCTTATTCTTTATTTTCAATCTGTATTTCTCACTTATGGGAAGCAACAGTCTGAGTGTTGTCCTAAAAAGCTACCAAAATAAGATGGAAGAAAGGCTAGTCAAAAGTTGATGACAGACAATGCTTCATATGAGTTCTGGGAATAAGTGGCCATTTTATTATCCTCCTTTTTAATGGCTGTAGTGTATTTGACTTGGAATATTATCATAAAAAGTAACAATAAGAAAGTACTTGATGAAAAAAAAAAATGACCATCTTGAGCATTAATTTTTTTTTTTTTTTCCCCCACAACCTGAATAATAGGGATTCCTCAAATATTAGCATTTCTGGAAAGCTTATTAATCACAGTGGCATGCAGAGAACAAAATGAAGACTAAAAATGAATTTCAATAAGGAGAATGTTATGTAATTAATATCCTATTGTCTTGGCCTCATGGATAAACTACTGGAAACCTTAACATCCTTTCATGCTGAACATGGTTTAATGAAAGTATTTTGTTTGAAAACTTCATTCAATTATTTTACTCTTATCTAACAAACATTTTGCATGAGTAATATTGTCTTATAATGAATGACAACCCAGAGGTTCTAAAATATGCTGGTTGGTGATGCTCAACTTAAAAGGAAGAATCTCTGAATATACTACTAAAATCTTTATATGATAGCATTCCTGTAATAGAAAACAGTTGCCCTAAATTGTATAGACAAAGAATTAGCAATTTCAACTTTCATCAGTCTAATGTTGATCAGCTAATATCATTGAGTAAGTTTATTTCAACAAAATGATTACTTTTTATTTTAAACCATTATGAACAGCAGCTGCTAATATTTTAATTTTGGAATTGAAACCTCTACTTATAAAATTTTACTAACAAAATATGTCAAACAGAAAAACTTCTTTGCTTTTTAAGAGAATTTTTCTCTTGGTATAGATTTTAGCTAAATGAGCCTCTGTTTTTCAATTTTGATTCATAAACCACATGGCTATAACTTTGGAACAATTCATTCTGTGATGCTAATAACAACTATTTAAGCTGAACTTTCATTGGTATTTAAATCTATTTTCAACAAAGGCATCTAAGTATTTTAGAATCTTTTGACCAAGTGATTTTTTTTTTTTTTCCTCTTACTGTCAAGTACTTCTGCCTGACTCTGACATTTTAGTTTTCTTTCTCTTCCTCTCGCCATTCTTAATTTCTACGACTTTAGTGATGACTTTCTACTTTCTTTCAATCCCAAGCTGTGAATAATACTAAAAAAGTCTCACATTTCCTTTGCACAGTTTCATATTTTAATTCTTCTGGGAATTAGTTTGTGGTCATTCACATTTCTGATTGTCAAGTATTTTTCATACAATTTTTCCATTGAGATTTAATTTTATGGAGTTGTTTCTGAAGGAAAAAGCAATTCTTTTATTTATATTCATATTCTTCAGAGATTAGTAGCAGAGGTGGGGTGAAAAATACTCAGCCAAACCAAGAAGCCTTTCCATTAAAAAAAAAAAGAAAAATAGTCAGATTTTAGGAAATCCATTTATGCAATTTTTTTTTTTTGTTTTTGATTATACAGTTGATACTAACTAAACAACACACAAAATCATTAATCTGTATTTACTTCAATAACTTCATAAACTAGTTTTACCAAAGTTTGTTCATTAAACTGATAGAATTACTAAACATATCTGATTTTGAATCTTATTTTTCCATTCTTGGATGACTATATGAGGAACAACTAAAAAGTTCTTGGCTCAATCCATTTCATAAAATCTATATTTTTCCTTTTTTCTTGAAGGGCTTCTTGGTTAGGCTGAGTATTTTTCATCACCCTCTTCATACTAATCTCTGAATAATGCGAATATAAATAACTATTGTATAAACGTCGGTCTGTGTTAATGATTTCAACATGTGTCCATATACTCCGAGGCAAAAAACCTGAATAAAAGTTATGGTATAATGTTTGTAGATGAATGAAATCATCATTTCTTTAATTCAATGAAAGATGGGCACAATCTTTTCAATAGAATTGCTTTCTTCTTTTTTTTCTTTGAATCATTAAATACATTTTGTAAATCTAAATTGTTGGCATAAAAAAAAGATTCTGTGCATGTAGTAATTGATGTTTCAACAAAAATATAAGGTGGGGTTGTTGAAGGTTCTCAGTTCAACTCTCTTCCTAAAGTCTGACCAAATGACTAAACATCAGAATTAAAAAAAAAAAAAATAAATTTATGTATTTGTCGTGCTTCTGTTTAGGCTGAGGACATCCATCATATAAACAGTAACTCTGAACTTGTTAAATAGTTTTTATGAGAGGCTATGAACACATTGACTGACCATAAGGTTCATGATGTTACTAGCAGTTTATATAGATAATTATTAGGATTATAAGTGAAAGGAAATTTCATTTTTATATTAAAATTATGGACAAAACATTTTCATAGCAAAGTGTCTGGTAATAACATTTTATATTAAAATTGAAGACATTGCATAATGTGTTTTTTTTTTTTTTTTTTTTTTTTTTTAATAATATTAATTTGTTACGATTAATCTCATTTCTTGTAAGGAGAAACGTGTCTTCACTCCCTGTTTAATTTTGTAAGATTATTTGATTAAAAAAAAAAAAATGCATCTAAGTATTTATAATTTAATCATGAAATAATGTCATTCTCTTGAATTAATTATTAAGTTTGAATTTTCATATTTAGATTTCTGTATTAGGGTTGACATGTTGCCAAACAGAAACAATCAAACCAAAGGAAACCTTTTCCAAATTTTGTAGGATTGGGCAGTAGATATTTTTGTATGCAACTTGGGTTTTTTTTTTTTTTTTTTTTTTTGCTTCCAGAATCTCATTTCAAGAGGGCAATGTATAGTTTTTTTTTACATCTTAGAAAACTAGAAATATACTTTTTCTGTGGTCTATATTTTATAATTACAAAAGGAAATATTTATGTCAAGATCTTTTTATCAAATGTGAAAATTTATTGGATATAAGAAACTATGTGGCGCATATAAATGTTAATATGCTCAATTTTTTTTTTTTTTTTTTTTTTCATCTGTCTCTGTAACTTCAATTTGTTCCCCACCCCCTGCTAAATTACTTTAATCTGGTATTGTTGTGTGTTTTTTTTTGTTTTTTTTTATGCTCTTTTTTTTTGTATACTTTGCTGCATATGGTGTTTCTTGTTCTTTGTATAAAGATCCTAAGTAATTTTTCTTTCTAACAACTTTTTTAATTTTCTTTTCAGATGAGCATCCGTCCCCCCATGTAAGAGAGAGAAAACCTGAGATGCTTTACTCTGCAATGTGTGTGTATGTGTATCCGCTATTTGCACTCTTAGGGAGCATAGATGGCAGACTGTATTCTAAAGTCATCTTCTCCTTAATTTCACTACCACCATCTCTTACACATATACACACATTTGCATGCATACATACATACATACATACATACTCACTCACACATGCATGCACACACACACACACACACAAAACCATATCAAGTAACAATGTTGGTTTTCAAGTACATCAGTTTGGATTTACAGTTGAAGAAATCTTTTTTTATTTAGTTTTCTATTTCACCCATTCAAAAAACAAAAAAAAAACACCTGTTTATAACTTCAAATTGACCCACCTGCATAGGTATTATAAATCCTGTTACCTGCTGACCTCAGTTCTACTTAGATGATAAAGAAGCTTTCTTCAATTGCAAATGTAAAATTACTGTGTTGATACTTGATGCTTGTATTTCAATGACTTGAATTTGGAGCAGAGAATTATTGGAAGATGTTGAAAGCTTGATAATTAATTTTTTTTTTTTTTTTATTAAGAAAGGAATTTTATTTATTCTTAGACATTTTTCAACATTTGCTAAATCAGTCAGTAATGCATTCCTTCAAACTTTATAAGCCAACTCAATCAGAAAACTGTCATCCAGCGTTGAGTTTATCTTAAAGTAGCCTGTTTATTTTTTTTTTTATTTCAGCTCTCCATTGAACGAGATGTTCCTCTGAGTCAATCAAATTTGCATACATATTTAAACATGTGGCCATGAAATTCTGTTCATGGCAACTTGATAAAATATATATATATATATATATATATATATATATATATATATATATTTTTTTTTTTTTTTTTTTTTTTTTTTTTTTTTTTTTTTTTTTACACTATTTAATTTTTTGATTCAGTTCAGCTGAGTCAAGAAATGAGTATTTTTTTTCTGATTTCAGATATAAATCTGGTTAGCCATTGGCACAGTGTTTGAATGAAGGAGTCCCCCTGTGGTGGGACGTTAAATTACCACTGGTTCTGAATGAACATTCCAGAGGTACACATTTTGAACTCTTATCATATTACTGGAGAACATTCCAGGAAGGAAAGGAAGCAGTAAAAAAAATAAATAAAAAAACAAAACCTGATTTGAATAGAAACGAAAGCTTTAGGAAGAGTTTGAAGAATGGGCAAGACTATATGTTGATCTCATCATTTTTATCATTGTAACTATGCATTATTTGGATGATCAAATTGGAATGAGATTTAAACTTCAACTTTCTCCAGACACACACACACACAAGCCCTGATACTTATTACAACTCAAATGAAAGGGAAAAATAACTTATAAATGATAGTTGTATCTTCTGTCAAAGACGTGACATATTCAACTCCTTTATAATATAATCACAGTTTAAATATTCAAATCTGTTATTAGATTTATCTTAGTTATGTGAGCCAGTCTGACATTTTGTCTCCAGTATTTTGTGGTCTCAATAGTCAGCCTTTTGATGTAATGTACTGAATGGATTATCTCTCAGGTTTTTTTTTTTTTTTCATTAATATATTCAGTCAATTTTGTATTTGTTTCCAGGTTTAAGTCGATGCTTTTACTGCCCTTCAGTAACTATTTTATTTTCCCTTCAGAATTAAGACTTTCCCAATTCTGATCATAATCAAGTGGTTTTGTTGATAATTTCACCTGGTTTTCTCCTCCTCCTCTTAAAACTCCCACTAACCCACCTAAAGGCACAGATGATATTCAGAGCTTTGCAGAAGACAATAGAATCGTATGTAATTAAAAGCCATTTTTGGCTTCTGATACCCTAAAGGATCAAATCTCTCCTAAAGTGGACGCTTGCCAAAATCTGACCAAGTTTACCAAAAAAAAAAAAAGAAACAAAAGCAAAAAGTCCTTGTGATCTCTTGTCTGTTGCTTGGCCTGTTATACTTCTAAGTACCTCCTCAAACCAATCTGCCTCTTATTGAAACTGTTCCTGCCTGTACAATTTGGACTGTTTACAATCTCTCAAAGCATTATTAGTGGATATGGTGTTCTCTTTACTGATCTCTGCCCTTCAATATGGTTAGTGTAACTGCACTGTTGTCTATAAGTTGGATATAGATATTGTCAATTGCTTCAATGACAAATATGTCACTTCACCTTGTTTTACTCATTTTCATTTCCTTCAAGTTGTCTCCTGCCTGAACAACAAATATGGCTGAATTATCTTTGCACTGTTATTTTTCAAATGTCCTTATTATTCGATATAGCTGTTAACCAAAACAGTTTTTAATGTTTGCATTTATTTTACTTGTTGTACTGTTCAAAAACACCAGGTTAACTAAGTTTATGTGTAAATGCGTCTACGGTCAATTGGGCTTTGTGAGCATTTGCTTGTGGAACTCTATTTTGAAAGTCTTGTGCACTTAAACTGTCAAAATATATGGAGAGAATAATAGACATTAAGTTGTTTATTGGGATACTAAGCAGTGCCTTCTTTTTAGCTGTGTTGTTTGCAAAAAAGGTAATTTGCTCTTTCTTGAACACAAGTAAACTTAAATGAATTATGTGAACAGTTTGATTTAAATCCTGGTAAAGTTATTTGTTTCTATTAATGCTATGAATAAATTGTTAGTTTTAACAGTGCCAATGTTTAGTTCCATACCAAATAGAAATTATTTGTGCCTTTGAACAATTTAGTGAAAGAATTCTATCAACACAGATTTTCTTGTACCTTTTATACTTGTTTACTTGGCTTATAGTATGAACAAAGTCCTTAGTAGCACTATGTTGAACTATAAACTGTTTTTTCGGAGAATGACATCTAATTGGTGAATGGATGGTGAGTGTCAGTCTCCTTAAATTCATGACAGTGCTTTTGTGCATCATAAAATCTGCAATACTCCATCATATTTCTCTTCAGAGAATTTAAGGGTCACTTTCTTTTCAAAAAGTGTTCATCATTCCACATTCATTTTTACCACTTATTTTATGAAATGGTAAATTTAAACTGTTGTCTATTATATTTTTGTCTCTCAATGGGTAAAGCTTAAAAGTGGCTTGTTTGAAATCCCAAAAACACTTAATGCATTCTTAGCAACAAATAATGACATGTTTGCAACTAGATGCTATTATGTAGCTTTTCTATACCTGGTTGGGCTGCCATAAAGTGAAAGCAGTGTTTCCTTGTAACTCGGTAAATACATAATAGAAATAAGAAAAAGAAAAGCAAAATGTAATTACTCTCTTAAGGCATATATATATATATATATATATATATATATATATATACTTTATATATATATATATATATATATATATATATATAAGCAGTTAATTTCTTTCTGCTACTGAATGACCTCTGACCTCTATAAAAGTTTGAAGAATGCCTTGCTTGCTCTCTTGTTATCTCTCTCTGCACCACCAGGTTCTCAATTTAACATTTAGGGGAGATAAATTCAACCCTATTACTGCCTCTGGAAGGCAAGCAGGGGAAAATGTTCATGGTTATATAAAGGTTTATCAAGTAAATCACCTTCCTTGTCTTTTTTTTTTTCTTTCTTGTAAGGGTTTTTTTAATGTCTTTTTTTTTACTTTACAGGTTTCATGATTTACAGTATTGTTTTACAAATATACCATATTGTTGAAAATCTGTTCACTTTCATAAATATTTTTATTGTTGCTGATAAAACCAAATTGATGCCAAAAAACCAAATTCAACTTGCAACAGAAAATATACAAGACTATTGACTTTAGAATCCTTTTTTAATTTGTCAGTTTTGACTGAAAAGTTTCTATCTGCTTTATCAAAATTACTAAACCATTTTCCAGTGTTAGAAATCTTTTAAAATTGCTAATTTTCTTTTCTTTAGTATATATTTAGTATATTTTACTAGCAGGTTGTTTTTTTTTTTTTTTTTTTTTTTTTTTTTTAAATTTATTCAATATGCCTTTTTAATTTTAGCAATGCTTTAAATTATAGATAAATTTGTGATTTTTATCACTCAATAATGCAGTATTTTAACTGGAATAGACCTTTTTTTCTTTTTAATAATAAATGAAGTGTTCAAGTATCAAAAGTTGTCAGTTCATTTCTGCAAGTTTTTATAATTTAGAATGGCTTATGGATATTCTTTAAATAGGCAGCAACAGTTTAAAAAGTTACTTTGTAGTTTTAATATAATCTTTGAATAAATACTTTGATTTCACTTTTGTTAAAAATGTGAAGATTCAAATCTTTTCAGTCTGAAGTTATATTCAAAAAAGTAAAAGATTACAAATTTTATAATGGCTTTAAGATGAATAAACTTACTATAGTAAAGTTGGAAAACTATAAAAGTAATGGATTTTCAGCAATACACTTGGTAGTGGGCATCTTGAAAAATTGAATGCCATTTAATTTTACTCTTAAGCGTTTTTTTTTTTTTTTTTCTTCCTACAAGCAATAATTCAGATATAAAATACAGTGTCATCCATGATTTTGCTCCAACAAAGTATCTATTGATTGGGCAGAGAACTTTTCAGCACTCCCTTATGTACAAGGGGGTGCCTCTACTCCTCACCTTCTTGGTCATGGTCAGTTGCTATTTCTCTTCCTTTTCTCTCCAGTTGCTATTTCTCTTCCTTTTCTCTCCAGTTGCTATTTCTCTTCCTTTTCTCCAGTTGCTATTTCTTCCTCTCTCCAGTTGCTATTTCTCTTCCTTTTCTCTCCAGTTGCTATTTCTCTTCCTTTTCTCTCCAGTTGCTATTTCTCTTCCTTTTCTCTCCAGTTGCTATTTCTCTTCCTTCTCTCTCCAGTTGCTATTTCTCTTCCTTTTCTCTCCAGTTGCTATTTCTTCTTTTCTCCTTGCTTTTCTCTTTTCTCTCAGTTGCTATTTCTCTTCCTTTTCTCTCCAGTTGCTATTTCTCTTTTTCTCTCCAGTTGCTATTTCTTTCTCCAGTTGCTTTTTCCTTTTCTCTCCAGTTGCTATTTCTCTTCCTTTTCTCTCCAGTTGCTATTTCTCTTCCTTTTCTCTCCAGTTGCTATTTCTCTTCCTTTTCTCTCCAGTTGCTATTTCTCTTCCTTTTCTCCAGTTGCTATTTCTCTTTTTTCTCCAGTTTTTTCTCCAGTTGCTTGCTATTTCTCTTCCTTTTTCTCTCCAGTTGCTATTTCTCTTCCTTTTCTCTCCAGTTGCTATTTCTCTTCCTTTTCTTGCTCTTTTTCACTACTACTTATTATTATCAATATTCTTTTTCTTATTTATTATATATATATATATATATATATATATATATATATATATATATAAAAGATATTTTAAATGCATGCTTTTAAAAATGATTATCATGGCATAAATTGTTTCCATCTCTTTATACATGAATTATTTTATTCTAGATCCTTTTTTTTTTTTTTTTTAATTTTCACATCAAGCAAAACACAAGGTGTTACTGAATGTGAAAGAATAAAAAAGAAAAACATTAAGGAGTGAGAACAATAAAAAAGTTGGAATCGAGAAGACAGTAGATAACGATTGATATTGCATTTAATTTCGGAAATCAAGAAGCTTGAAGAGAGATCCACAGCCAAGAAGTGAGAGAAGAAACTGTCAGCAAAGACCTTACATATTTTTCATCTAGCTCAGTAAATAAGCATACAAAATTTATTCTGTGCAAAAAAAATAAAGTAAAATTGGACAGTGGTTCAAAATTACAACCTACACAAGGATGCTGAAAAGTTCCTGGCCTAAGCCAGCTCTTTCCTTTTATAAAAAATGTTTGGTCAGATTTTGGAAAGTGTTTTAAGCAGAAAACCTTTTCAAACCACCTCACATATGTAGAAATAATTTCAATTTAACAGGCTTATTTGTCAGGTTGGCTTTTTTTCTTCTTTTTTTCTGTTTTTCTTCTTTTTTTCTTTTTTTTTTTTTTCTTCTTTTTTTCTTTTTTTTTTTTTTTCTTCTTTTTCTTTTTTTTTTTTTTTTTTTTTTTTTTCTTTTTTTTTTTTTTTTTTTTTTTTTTTTTTTTTTTTTCTTTTTCTTTTTTTTTTTTTTTTTTTTTTTTTTTTTTTTTTTTCTTTTTCTTTTTTTTTTCTTTTTTCTTTTTCTTTTTTTTTTTTTTTTTTTTTTTTTTTTTTTTTTTTTTTTTTTTTTTTTCTTTTTATTTTTTTTTTTTTTTTTTTCTTTTTTTTTTTTCTTTTTTTCTTTTTCTTTTTTTTTTTTTTCTTTTAAATCTGCTCCTGAGTTTACCAACAGCTATTATTAATTTTTGACTTCTTTTTCTTCATCCAACTTCTAAAATTTACAATCCTGAGGATTATAAGGTTATGTACACATCACATTAAAACCTCAGTTTCCGTTTGATCACTGAAGTTAAGCAACATTGAGCCTCGTCAGCACCTAGAGGAGTGACTCCTTGGGAATAAGTGGTGTAATGGATAATGGCTTGGAATTGTTAATTGGAGAGCAGAGTTCCAATTCCAGTTGGGTTTGTTACATTCACTTAAGTTATAAATCTACCTCTTCTCCACCCAGCTGTACATTAATTAATAAGACTTGTATCACTAAACCATTATTATCTCAAAAACAAAAAAAAATTTTTATGACTAAGCTGGACTAAGTCAAAAATAAATAACAGCAAGTGTTTAATCAATGAATTTTTTAATTTAATTTAAAACAATTACACTTATTCCATTTTCTTCTACAAAGTGGATAACTTAAGCTTTCAATCTCATCCACTTTTTTTGCTAGGCATAAAAGAATGAGAAGCAAGTGAAACTCATCAAAAAATTAGCTATAGTGAAAAATATCTACATTCACTTCATAACAATATGTGCTGATAGATTTTCGACCGTTAATTTGTCTGGTTGAGCTGGGGTTCTGTTGCACGGGACATGGAAATTAAAAAAAAAAAAAAAAAAAAAAAGCAATAGTTAAATATTCTTCTCTTGTGAACAGATTTATTTTTACTTCAGTGACGGTGGAGACTTTTGGGGTGATTGGCCATTGTTCAGTGGCGTGCCTCTGGAGAGTTGGCGGGATTGCATCTCGATTAAGAGACAAGCCTTGTGAAACAATGACTCTTGCAGCGTGTCTCAGTGCGAGGTAATGCTTTCTCCATCATTGCAGCTGGCAGAGGATAGCAAAATAAATAAAAATACATTTTGTTTTTGTTTATAGATACTTTGTTCAAATAAATTTGTTCGTTTCTTTCATTTGATGATTTGAAAATAAACGGAAATTTTTCCAGACGAAAAAAATGAAAAATATTTTATTTACTCATAAAATTTGATATTCATTTTATTTGTAGAATGCTTACCTCAAAAACAGAGTTTAAGATCCACAATATAAACTTATATTTGCATGAATTAGCTCTTGGTTTCCACACTTTACCTGTGTGTGTGCATTTAGACAAGCTACAGTTAATGGTCTTACAAATTTGCTAACACATATATATATATATATATATATATATATATATATATATATATATATATATATATATATAAATTAATTGATTTAAAATATGGTTTTTCAGCTACACAGTTCTAACCATGTTTAAAACCCAGTAATTTTAAAAGTTACTCCAAAATTTGCTTGAGGAGGAAATGGAACTAATGTCTTTAATTTAATTACAAAATTAAATTCGGGGCTTTTAGCTTCCATTTTTGAAACATGGTTAGAACTGTGTAGTGGAAAAAACCATATTTTAAATCAATTAATTTATAATATTAATGCTCTGTAAATTTACATTGAGCACTCTTTTGTAAAATAAAAAATATCTATAAGAACACTGGATTATATATCTTACTGTTCTTTCTTTTTATTTATATCTACATATATATGTATGTATATATATAAAATAGGTACAAATTTTAAAAAACATTTTTTTTTTCCTTATTCTTAAAATTTTGAATAAACTCATTACATTTGGCAGGAATTTAAGAGTAAATGTTTCATTTATATTTTTTTTTTATTTAGCTATATAAACCTAGGTACATGTAGCATAATGAAGAAGCATTTATCTTTCAACATAATCTCCTTCATCACCAGTGCTCTTCTGTAGTAATCCTAGATCAAATGTTATAAAGTGAAAAAAAAAAAAAAAATTGATCAACAAGCAATTGAGTGTACAACAAAGATGTATTTTATGCCAAACATGTCCTTATTTGACCTATGTTTTAGCATTTAAATTTTAACTGTCGATGTATCTGTCATGTGAATGAAAAACTTCAGTTCCAATTCCAAATATGTGTAAATATTTCTATAGAAGGCAGCAAAATTAATTCTTATATTACATATCACACTTTTTCAAGTTGTTCTTTTTATTTTTTTATTTTTTATTTTTTTTAATCAAGCCTTGCTTAAGCTTACAGATTGAAATTTTGGCAATGTTTAACCTTTATGTCGGCAAAAACAAAAAAAGTGTCAAAAGGATAGTTATTCCCTTGGCACTGCTATTGCAGTATACATTTTTAACTCCATTATTTATATTATTTGAACTATTGTCCTCATCTTTGTCACCATATTTATTACGTTTCGGCCATTGTACGCTCCGGCCTTCTTCAGGTGGTTGGAATGTCGAATTTAACCCTTTATTTCACTCACTGGGATAGACTGTTCTAGTTCCACATGCCATGTTTAATGGATATCAGTTATCTCCTGTTAATTTCCCTCTGAAAGTTCTCCACTGCCTTAACTGGGATATTGAACACACACTCTTTGGGTCTTGTCACTGGATCTAACCAATGCCTTTATCCACTGTGCCATGTGTCCTTGAAATCCGAAAACCTCCAAAATCTGAAAGTCTTTCAGGTGCTAATATGACTTGCCACAAAATATGATGACAAAGATGAGGACAATAGTCCGAATAATGTAAATAATGTACATAATACCTCATCTCAGAAATATAGACAGATGTTTTTAACTCCTTCGGCAATGTTTAGTGTTTTTAGAAAGTGAAATAAAACCCGAACAATTGAAAATGAATTTGTATATTTTTCTTTATTTCAAGGATGGTGAGTTCAGTCCTTGGTAGGAGCCCAAGAGTCAACCTAGTTAACACTGGGAATTGACAACAAAGATATTAAACACTTATATTGCTTATTTAATGTTAGCAGATTTTCAAGGCGTCTTTTTTTTTTTTTTTTTTTTTTGGCAACAATTTTAAAAAAATTTTAAATAAATATTGCATTGTAGTTGTACATACTTTGTAATTTTTATAAATTTTTTAATAAAATGATATTTTTATAATCTTGTAAATAAACATTGCTGAGGGAGTCAATGCAATAATTGTGGTGTCAAGGAAATAATTGTCCTCTTGACACCATTTTTTTTTTTTTTTTTGTATTTCTTCTACCATGAAGCTTAAAAATTGCCGTGATTTTTTTTTCTCTCCCACTGTCAAGATCATTACAGAATCTATTAAGCAGTCTTTTACTAAATTGTCAGTGTAACATGAAGAAATAGACAAGATATAGAATTTTGAGATTTTCAACCAAGACATTTCTATGTTCTAAATAACTGTAATAACTGAATTCACTAAAACAGTAATGGTCTATAAAACTATCCTGTGAACCACTGCACTATGATGAGATGCCCATTAGTTCATGATATATACATTTTTTTTTTTTTTTTGCAAAGAGAATAAAATTGAGTCTTTGTTTTCCATTTTGGCATTAGCTATACTAAATTAAGCATTAGTACACTCACCTACCAAACAAGCCCTATATATTATTAAACTAAATAAAAAGCTACAAATTCAAATTCTGTAGCAATGGATTTTATAAACTAGCTTGTTAGGTACTACTATGACATGCACCTGCCCTTAGATAAATAGTACAAGTTAAGTATCCTTTATCCAAAATTCCCAGATCCGAAAACCTCCAAAATCTGAAAGTCTTTCAGGTGCTGACATGACTTGCCACAAATGGAAAATTTCAGAAAGCAGTGTGAGGGTTCCTAGGTGATGTACAACTGTCGTAAGTGACCTAATCTGCCCTGAGTGGGTGTTCCTCCATTCCAGCTATGTAACTTATGCTGGTACCAGTTTTTTGTTAGTGATCATCACAGCAACACATTTGTGGATTACTTACCAGTTGTTTTGTTCTCAGTAAAGATATTATTCAAGATGTCAAACTCCTGCAAATACTCTTATGGATAGTGAA